GTGGCAGCATCAACACTCCACCCTTTCTTGCGAAAGTGAGGCGCCGCGCGACTCGGCATGCCACCACCTTGCTCGCCGATCCACTTGATCGCCTCCTGTTTCTTTCCGAGCTCAATTGCTTGACGCATAGTCGATTTCAAAATAACAGCCCAATGCTAAGGTGTTTACAGCGGCCTTTTATTTGAAGTGGTCTTTTAATCGAAGCGGTCTTTTATTTCTAGAACATTGTCGAAAATTCGATGGGGGCTTGTAATTGGAGAAGGTCTTCTATTCGTAAAAATCCGTTAAATACATTTTTAAATCTGAGCGGAATGGCGTCTTTCCCTCGACTAAGGTTTTCGGTACTGATGCCTCGGAAGGGTGCTCTCCAGAAAAATATGGTTAGGTGTACAAAGTACAGTACACTCGACTTGGTCGATGAGTATTACCTTTTGCTCTTGAGGGCGAGTGATGTTCTGCAGACAGCGCTAGTTTTTCCGAGCGGCATGCTCCGGAAGTGACTGGTGATGCCCCAAGGGTTGTCAAATACACCAGCAACATTTAATCGTCTTGTGACGCTCAGGCCCCACCGGGCGTATGCAAAAACGTACTTCGACGACATCTTCGTCCACAGTCGTGCGGGGCACGGGAGGGCCGATGAGGAAAACCTTATCGTCCATTTGAGAGCGGTGCTCGAGTGCATGCGCACGACAACGCGGGATGCTAATACAGATAAGTGTACCTTCGACGCGAAAGAAATATTCTTTATAGGGTGCTTCATTGGAAAGAGCGCAGCCTTCGAGCGGATCCCGCTAAGGTCAAGGTCATTATGGACTGGCCGGTTCCGAAGAACCAAAAGACGCAAGTGGTTTGTCCTCGTCAACTACTTGCACAAGTGTATCGCAAATTATGCGGAAATGGCACAGCCATTGTCGAAACATCTAAAGAAAGATGTTGAACGGTGTCGGGACACCGAGCATCGGGAGGCTTTTGACAGGGTCAAAGACAGCTACCCTCGTGCACCAATACTGGCGTTGCCAGACCCCAATCGTCCTTGTCGTGTCGCCTGCGACGCTTCAGACTTTGCCATCGGCTGTTCACTACTACAAGCAGACGCCGAGGGGCGAGATCAGTCAAATTTCGCCAGCTTAAGGCTGCGGAGAGGGACTACCCAGTCCACAACAAGGAATTACTTGCGACGAAGAATGCACTTATCATGTCAGGGTGCGCCTGCTTGGCTCAAAGCCGTTTGTGATCTACACAGATCATGCGTCATTACGTACTACGATTCAGTTGCCTCACCTCTCGCAGAGGATGGCCAGGTGGCTCTCATTCTTCTCAGAATATAACTTCGAGGTAAAGCATAAGCCAGAAAAGCACAGAGCTTTGGTTGATGCGTTGTCAAGCAGACCGAAATATGGACTTACTCATGTCACGACGATGACATCGACATTGAAGGATTTAATCCGCGCCGCACACACGGGTGATGATATGTGAGCAGCGCTGCTTTTGGCTCTAGGGAGCAAGAAGTTTGGAGACTCGGAAAGAAATAATCGGCGCGATTGCGCGCACGGTTACACCGATATTCGTTGAAGAACGGGTTGCAGTTTGTAGCATTGATCTAGCGGATACGCCACGAATTGTGGTTCCTCACGATAAGGATTTGAAATACCGTTTACCTCTATAAGGCCCACAACACCCCCACTCAGTGGACATCTCGGCCGTGAGAAGACGAACAGCTTGGTGAGTTGCCACAACTGACGGTCCAAGCTGTACAAATGGACGAGCACATATGTGCGCACGTGTGAGACGTGAGGGTGAAAGACGCGGCGCCGCTCGTCAGTATGCCGGTACCCTCCTGGCGTTTGTAGTTCATGAGTATGGACTTTGTGTTTGGCCTGCCGAAGAACTCGGCGGGTCTTTTTGAGCCGTTTGAGCAAGATGGCATCTTGCGGCAGTGCCGGACACAATCAACAGTGTGGATACGGCGACGCTGTTCGTCGATCGTGTCTTTCGGCAAGATGGCCTCCCGGGGTCAATTGTATCTGAAAGAGACCCTGCGAAGTTTTGATCTTCAATCTTGAGGTTGCTGGGAACCAAGTTGGCTATATCAACGGCGGACCATCCGCAGACCGATGGTCAGACTGAGCAAGTGACTCGCGTCGTAAAATACATTCTTTGCAGCGTCTGCACTGACACGTCGAAGTGCTGGAGCGCCATGCTGCCACTCGTACGATTTGCTCTAGACAATGCAGTGTATTCATTTACCGGCTACATGTCTTTCTACGGCAAAGGCTTGTTCATGCTCGCGTCCCAGTGACACCGCCATCCCATGGCTCAGGGATTGGTTGGGGAGGGATAGCCGGCTAGCTAATGTCAGTCCCCTCACTGTCCGTAAGGAAGTCGATGACTTCCTGTCGACCAGACTGAGTGTCCTACGACACGTTCGCGATGCGATGGCTGAAGCTAAACACGCAGAAAGAATATGCAGCGAAAACAGCAGAAGAAATGTTGAAACCATTGAGGTTGGAGACATGGTTTTTTATTAGATGTTTAAATCTTTCTACACATGCAGTTTCTGCTGTCTGTAAGACAAAGCTCCGTCCGCGGCTTATTGTTTATTTCAGGGTAGTGGCAAAGCGACGCCTCGCTAAAACTTCCGAGAAGGATGCGCACCCACCCGGTGTTTTATGTGGGATTGCTTAAGTCGTTCCGGGATTCGGCGCAAGTGAACGCGGAAGCGCTGGCGCCAGAGTGGCGCCTAAAAGGCGCTAGGCAACTTAAATATTAAGCCAGTAACTGGTTCTGAGCACGGACTGCAACGATCTCCGTTTTCAACGGCGCAAGACTCTCCACCGCAGCACGAGTGACGTATTCGTCTGCTCGACGACTAAGAGCCGCTCCAACAGAGCACGATAATTCTCAACGTGAGGCACTTGGTGCACAAATGTCTCAAGGCTCTCGACCTTCCTCCACACAGCGGTTGGCGACCTCGGAGAGATGCTCGGCAGAGTGCCGATGACGACGGACTTTGTCGTCCAACGCTCGAAGGGCATCGCGAGTCACCGTTCACTGCCGACTCATCCCGATGAGGATAGTGGCATCCTCCACCACGTAGAACGCCTTGCGGGTCGACGTCGTCGACGGGATTTAATCCAATACCTTGTGAAGTGGCGGGTATACCCAAACTCCGAGAACTCGTGGGAGTTTAAGGTGCCGCTCTGGCAAAACTGCCCGGACGTCGTAGACGCTTATGACCAGAGGGATCATAGCGTTTCGCGTCGTCTTGCGCACCGCGCTTCTCGGCAGTAGTCCGGAAAGCCGGGGGACCATGAGCTGCTATCTTCGTAAACACACCTGTGTGAAAAACCACAGAGCTCGCGGGAGTGTTACGGATTGTTTCATAGTTCGCAGGGCGACAATACGCAGTAAGTCGGCGTTGCGCCTTGAGTTTGGCAAATTCAAATTCAAGATGGTACTCCACGCGCACGTTCACTTCCTTGCGGCTTCGCTGTAAAGTTGACAGCAAAGACCGATTCCGGTGCCGCTACACCAATCGCTCAAAGAGCCCCTCGTCATCTACAGAGGTTTTGCAAGGGCGAGCACCACAGGATAGTTTGCGTTGCGGGTACAGGAGCGCCTCCTCCTTGAGCTTGAAGTCAAGCGCGGTACTTATTCATTGGGATTTCCTAGAGTACCAAAAAGCGAACTTAAAGAGCTTTTCGCTGATCAAGCTTATCTGTGTTGTGGCCGGGGCCTGATAACGTAGGCGTCCAATGATCGAGTGATCGTGTCTTCCGCTTCGGTAGCGGGATCCGCCGAGCGGAAGTCGTACTTAAAACAAGGGTTCAGGACCGATCGTGGATACGAGGGCATGAGGCCCCCTATTGATAGCCTCCAACTGCTGCTTCTGTGCCTCGTCGAGGCGATTGGTGACAACACAATTTCCCCCGGAAGTCGAGAGGACGGGTAACGGACATATTGTCCACAAGGTTTGAGCTGGGCTCACGCCGCGCCATTTGCGCACTTCATTTTCCTCGTCATCCCATGCTAGGAAAGGAGTATCCGACTCGTGGTCGACTTCCTCCGAATCCTCGAGGAAATCAGTCGCCAGGTGCGGGCGTGGTGTGTGGCGCTCGGTTGCCGAGGGACTGGGATGTGCTCTCCACGAAGCCGCGAGACGTATTGTCCGGAGATGCGCCCCGTGCAGGAGAGAAAGGGCTCTACCCGCGGCCGCCCTCGGAGCCAGCTAGGCTGGGTGTTTTGCGGGTCATAGATACAGGTCTCATTGAGCGGAGAATGTTCGAAGATGCTCTTAATCACATAACGGTGTCTCAGATACGCGAGTCGTATATGGCGACATTTAAATGTGAATTGTGTATTCATAATTTTGATAGGGGAAGTGTAACGGGATTACACGTACCCAGAGTGTCACAGAGTTACACGTACCCATATATCAAAGGGCGGGTCACACAAGATGCGACCGTACAAAGGTGTGGATTACACAAGTTGGTGAAAACACAGAATGGTGTGGCTACACCGTAACAAGAAGCCACCACGTGGCAGGACTGCCAGTTGCATTGCATATTAAGTAGATTTTACTATAATGACTAAATATTACTATATAATCAGGAAAGCGGTTCTGCCGCAAAATAATTAATTAAATAAAGTTTCAATTTTGAACGGAAGAGCGTCTTTTACCCTGGTTAACGTTTTAAGTACTCTTAGAGGTAGTCGATCCACTCGTGTTGGTTCTTGTATAGTACGTAAGGTTTAGTTAGCTTCCTCTAAGCAAAGCCCGCAGTATGTGGCGTACATCTGACGTGATAGATTCGAGAGAGCGGGGATCATTGTCTATCACCTTGAGTAAGAGCTGGTCTTCTATAATATAATAATGGTTGGTCAAGACATCGACCGAAGTGTGATAGGGACAGGTCTTTCTTTTGGACATTTCCGGTATCTTACATCTTCGATCTAAATGACAGAACTAGTGCTCAAGCGTTTCGATTTGAGATGTACTTAACGATAAATCTCGATGCCTGTCTGAGGCAAATTGCTATGCTTGTCTGAAGCAAATTACTATGCCTGTCTGAGGCGACATATTGTCATTTGAGCGATATTTGCTAATTACAATTTGCTGTCTTCAAACAAATGTATGGTGGTTATCACAGCGCAAATATTCAGAAAGTAACATAGAATCACATACACGCGAACCTGATATAAATGAATGCAAGATTTACTTATCTCCTTCTGCAATTTGCACAGGGTATTTTCATTATGAGCTAAAGAATTTGCCACGAAAAGGGAGGCGCGATGCAGATAGCTTGTTGATCAGATTTTTTAAACTTAATAAAATCGACAAATAGTTTTCAGGTTATCACTAAGCTTATTTGATTGGTATGTTGTGTGAGCCACTCCAAAAAATTAAACGCGTTTGATGAATAATCTCAATGAAGCCGTCTGGACCCGCGTATTCCTTTTCGGCGCTTCTTGCGTTGCCGGCCTCATTTTAGTCCGCCGTCGGAAACTACGCCGTTTCCACATGCGCATTCTTAACAATAAATCGGCAGACTGCGGCTGCCTCTTCGGGCTTGATATTGGTGGTACGCTGACAAAAATGGTCTACTTCCAGTCAGCGGATGGTGCGGCTGTGACACAGCGGAGGCAGATGGAACACTATCTGACTCGATTTAGCCCTTGTGATGTCAGTGAACGGTGTCATGTGGAGGGGAGCTTGCCGCTTATCGATGATTTTATTATGAGCCTCAAAATGACGGAGATTGCTCAGCGCGAGGAACGGCTCCAAATGTTCGTGCCCGAACTTAATGGAACACTTCACTTTATCAAGTGCGTTATTACTTTTCTGCTGGATGCTTAGGTACTGACAATTTTTCTTTCCCACCTATTGTTCTCGAATAGTTTTCCAACGGCTAAAATGGACAATATCATAGACTTTGTGCGCCGTCGCTTTTTTCACCGTTACATCAAAAAGATCGCATGCACGGGCGGCGGTGCCTTCAAAGTGCGGTCGCTTACCAATATTTTGTTTTGAACGGCTGTCTGATCTCTTGACTTCGTGCCGATGCAGTTTTCTTCTTTGTTCGAGTCGCGCTTGGGCATTGAGCTACAGAAAACGGACGAGATGGATGGACTTATTCAAGGCTTGAACTTTGTGCTAAAGTATGCGCCCGACGAATGTTATACTTTTGTAAATGTAATTCCAGGTACTGGTCTCGGGAGTGCAACAAGAAAAATGTTGCCAAAGCCAAACAAGCGCGATCTATACCCATTCTTGCTCGTGAATATTGGCTCGGGTGTGAGCATAATTAAGATTACTGGTGAATTGAACTACGAGCGTGTGTCAGGCACAAGTTTGGGCGGAGGAACCTTTCTGGGGCTGTGCCGTACACTTTCAAAGCTGCGAACGTTTGACGAGGCAATGGATGCGTCGATTGAGGGCAATTCAAATGAGCTAGATATGACTGTGGGTGACATCTATGGACCTACCGGCTACGAGCAATTCCAGCTTAAACCAGACACAGTGGCCAGCAGCTTCGGGAAGGCTAGTGCGTCGCAACCGCCGCGAGATGCCGACCTTGCCCGCTCGCTACTCTTCATGATCACGCAGAATTTAGGTCAGCTTGCTTTTCTCAATGCGCGACGCGCTGAAACCAAGCGTATTTATTTTTCTGGAAACTTCTTGCGACGCAACGAACTGGCGTGTAGACAGCTGGCTTATGCTATCAGCTTCTGGTCCAAGGGTGAGATGCAGGCACAATTCTTCCATCACGAAGGCTTTTTTGGTGCACTTGGGACGTTCTTGCAGCGCTACAGCTTAAATTATGAATCGCCAGTCCTGAGCAAGTCAGAATTAGAGGAGTCAGGCGATGATCAAAATAGCTGCTACTCTTAGGATTTGTCGTGTTCAATGTACTGCAATTGAAGCGTAATTTACTTCAGTGGTTCTTAGTATAAAGGTTGCCGTAACCGGTATGGTTTAGAATACATTTAATAAAAAAATCAGTGCGAATTATCGTGAACGCACAGATAGAGAAAGACAATCATAGCACTCGTCAAATTAGTAGGGTACGAAGCAAGGTTGTGCTGGATCACCATTCGAGACCGTTACGACTTTAGCGAACGGGAGTAACATGATTGTGAAGACTGATACTACACTGTTCTACCGAATGTTGTTCGCTACGAATGGACCGCAAAATACTAAAGAATACTGTTAGTTCTTGTATAGTAAACTAGTCGTACACCGTACTGATGCTTTTGTTTGTTATCAAGATTTATACGTTCTAGTATGAAGAATTGCTCAAAAAATGCAAGTTGCCCTGAACAGTCCTTCAAGAGCGCAACCTTAAATTATTATTACTGCTTTCTTCACGTAAAAATATTAGCTGCAGACGAGTCTGAGCTATCAACTGATTCTATCAGTCGAGTTTTGCGGATATCAACGCAGCTCAAAGGTCGAGTTTAAGCAGATTAAGTGACTAAGCATAACGAAGATCATTTTTAAAATAATCGTTTTGCAAGCGCCTAATTCACCTGAATATGTCAAGGTACTGCACGACTTACAGCTTGCATGATGTGCAATACAGCAAAACTTGAAGAAGTGTTTACGGGACGATGTTTTTTATGTCGCGAGGGAAATAGGAGCAAACGCGTCACATGCGCATGTCCAGATTGTAGATTGAAAAGCTTCAGCAGCAGGCCCTTTCACTATATCGCCTTCAAAGTTTGTAATTCACAACACCGCACACGTCATAGTTTAGTCGAAAACTGCGACCTTCTTCTAGCACAGAAATCATGCATATTCCCGCCTCAGCGATAGCCTCGTAAAATGTAATAGTTGTCCCGGTTCCACATCGTATTGTTGCCTGCTTGCGATAAGAATCGTCCAGAATTCCTTGTTGGCGCAGTGATTTAAAGCAAAACAGTGAGTCACGCGATGCAACCATAGACCCAATTAAGAGACATCTGCAGACCTTATTTAACCCCGCACCGCAAAACTGATTATATTACGTAGAGCGCGACAGCTACGACGTGTTTGTACTTTTTTATATCAAATGACATGTGACGTGCGTGGTAGTTTGCGTAGAGACGGGCCAGTGACGCAAGGCTAGCGACCGGATCTCAGAACATAATTTATCGAGTTATCATCCTATAACACTCAACAGAATCTGTCTAGTGGATACACACTGAATTCGCCAGTTCGGACACCCCTTATCTCATAGAGTCGCAACTTGACATATATTGTGGACGTTTTCCTCAGCCTATATCGCCCTCGTTCATGTAACCGGCGGCAAAGGTTGGGAAAACGAGTGATAGGTATAAATTGCGTGCTACCTTGCACTCTGCACTGGCGCTGTCATTCTTCTGCCATATGGAAAACTGGACGATCTGTCGATGGTGGCAGTCGCTGTCGTCAACTGTTTATTACTTCTAAACCTACTGCAATTCGCGCACGTCCTTCACTATTCAAAATGCTGCCACTTAATTCGCCTACCAACTCCGACATCACCCTTGGCAACTTGCGGTGCACCATCGTGTCCACTCGCAAAGTGGCAAGCCACACTGACTATGCCATTCGCGTGCAGACTGACCGAAATGGTGGGCAAGACCTTGTCTATCGTCGCTTCTCGGCATTTTTGCAGCTACAGCAAATCGCACGCCGTCACTTTCAGGAGCATGATGTTTGCTGTGGCGGCAAAAAAAGCTGCCTTCTTGCCTCTTGTATCGAGCATGTATTCGTGGACACCGAGTTTCCAGTGATGCAAGGCCGTTTTCTCGGCAAAAACTCGAAAAGTGTCGTGCGTGAGCGGGTGCTGTTCTTGAACGCTTTTTTGCTGGAGCTTGAAGAGGCGCTTTGCAAGTGCCCTCCTGTCGTCATGGCTTGCTGCGAGAAGCAGGGCTGCAAGATTATCAAGCTGCTAAAGAGTTTCTACGGCTGTCTTGATTTGGGAAGCAGCGACTCCGTTTAGTCTTTTTCGTTTGAGTCATTCCCTGAAGAGAGCGACAACAAATTTTGTCTGTGTCAATGCAAAGACCAGTGACGCTTGTCTTCCGATCGAAGGAAGTGCTTAAGCACATTTCGTAACTCGTCTCACAGACTTGAAGGTAGATTATGGTCATAATTATGACAAGGAACGCAAATATTTATCGAGCAAGATATCTTGGCTCATAGTTACACCTAATAAAACTAAGGATGTTCATTATTATAGGACTTTCGAACAAACTTCTTAAAGGATGCAAGGTGATGTTGAGATCTGAAAGCTATTCTGCATACACATATTTTGCTTGTCAACAACACGCACAGAATCTGAATTTGTCTAGTCGATTGATAAGCCATAAGTCAGCCGCGTACTCTAGAAATTTAGAAAAATAATTAGGCAAAGAAAGGTCAGACATCTATTGGCTATCGAGAGAGTTTATTCGACATGTGTGTTGAGCAACTTGCCACATAAAGCAATATCAACCAAAGTTACAGTAGCAGCAGTAAAAGTGATAGCACTTATTGCAGATGAGCGATTTAGATGGCAAAAAAAATTAATTTTAAAAAGCAATCCAAAGATTACAGCTCTGTCCGCAGCGACCCCTTCTCGCCAAACATCTAGTACGAATATTTTGGAATCTACCAGACTTTGCGGTACATAGCAGTCAGATAGCATCTGATTTAAGAGACGAGGCACAATAACAGATGGAGAGTTGCAACACGCGCGCCTGGCACTTGCGCCAGTCTTACACTCTCCTCAAATCACAATCTCTGAGTCATCTCTAAAACTGGCAACTTGGAGTAAGCAACGGCTTCATCACGAAGTCGGCGGGCCGTTTGGCACAGGGAACTGGTGTATACCACTGATTGGAAGGTCATGTATATGAAAGCGTACACAGTCATCGCCTAGCGAATTGGGGTTGAACATGCAGCGGGGCTGCCGTAGCTTAGCGCTTGAGAAAGCGTAATTTAGGTCATCGACCTTTCGTTCTATACTTAGAACAAGTACGAGTTAGCGGATCGCAATCCGCTTACTCCAAGAGTAATTATTGCCTAACCCAAGGCTAATAAGCTCTTCCGTTTAAAATTCAAAACTGATTTTTATCTACTTTTTATCCCAATTTTTTTAGATTTTCCTAAATATACTATAAAAGTAAAATCTAAATACATGCATAACTACTGACTACCTAGCCACACACCGTATTCTTGTTTGGATGCAGTCACACCATACACATCTCGTGTGACACACACTTCTGTTACCAGGGTACGTGTAACTCCGTTGCACCCCCCATTAAGATTGAGAACATTTACAGCTCCAATCGATTATTGCCTCAACGAGGCTCGCGGGTCCGCTAGACACTGCCACTTAATTCGGTGAAATAAAACAACTTCTTGCTTAATGAGCCCTGTGTCCACGACACGAAAGTCACCAAGTCTCGCTGGTTCTGACAGCGAGCACGGGAAGAGCCCAACTTTGTGTCCGCACGCGGTGCGATGTCGGACAGTGCGTCCGCGGCACCGGGGGATGTACATCCTAGGTTCGATGAGCACGAGCGTCGCGCTTTGCACAAGCTATCAATGACGAACGACCTCGTTGCGGATGTAAAGGTGGTCGACTACGAGTTTGACACTCCTTTTCCCGCATGGGATGACGAGGAAGGCGAGCTGCGCCAGCAGCGTAATACGAGCCCTGCTCGCGCCTTGCGGACCCCATGTCTGTTCCCTGAA